GTCATTCATATGAGTTCAGGTTTAAAGGGATGAGGTGGCCACCCTAGGTGCAGGGGGAACATACCGTTGGTCCTGGGTGTGCAAGGGGAAGGTGTACAGTTGGGGGGATGTAGATCTGATCCTGGGGGTGTGTGTGTGAGTGTGTGTGGAGGGGGGGGGGCATACAGCTGGTCCTGGGTGTGTGTGTGTGTGGGGGGGGGGTGTATCTGGTCCCAGATGTGCAGGGGAGGACATACAGCTGATCTTAAGTATGCAGGTGGAGATGTACAGCTGGTCCCGGGGTGTGTGGGGGGGGGGCGGAGATACATCTAGTCCTGGGTGTGAGGGGGGGGCAGGATGGATGTACAGCTGGTCCTGGGTGTGCAAGGGGGGAAGGTGTACAGTTGGGGGGATGTAGATCTGATCCTGGGGGTGTGTGTGTGAGTGTGTGTGGGGGGGGGGGCATACAGCTGGTCCTGCGTGTGTGTGTGTGGGGGGGTGTATCTGGTCCCAGATGTGCAGGGGAGGACATACAGCTGATCTTAAGTATGCAGGTGGAGGTGTACAGCTGGTCCCGGGTGTGTGGGGGGGGGGGGGCGGAGATACATCTAGTCCTGGGGTGTGAGGGGGGGGGGGATGGATGTACAGCTGGTCCTGGGTGTGCGGTGGTGGGGAGAGATACATCTAGTCCTGGGTGTGATCTAGTCCTGGGGTGTGCGGGGGGGACGGTTGTACAGCTGGCCCTGGGTGTGCAGGGGGGAGATACATCTAGTCCTGGGTGTATGTGGGGGATGGATGTACAGCTGGTCCTGGGTGTACGGGGGGGGGGGAGATACATCTAGTCCTGGTAGTCCTGGGTGTGCGGGGGGGACGGATGTACAGCTGGTCCTGGGTGTGGGGGGGGGGGGAGATACATCTAGTTCTGGGTGTCAGGGGGAAAGATGTACAGCTGGTTCTGGGTGTGTGGGGGGGGGGGAGATACATCTCGTCCTGGGTGTTCGGGGGGATGGATGTACAGCTGGTTCTGGTGTGCGCGGGGGGGGGGAGATACATCTAGTCCTGGGTGTGAGGGGGGGGGGGGATGGATGTACAGCTGGTCCTGGGTGTGCGGGGGTGGGGAGATACATCTAGTCCTGGGTGTGAGGGGGGGGGGGGGGGATGGATGTACAGCTGGTCCTGGGTGTGCGGGGGGGGGGGGGATGAATCTAGTCCTGGGTGTCAGGGGGATGGATGTACAGCTGGTTCTGGGTGTGCGGGTGGGGGGGGGAAGATACATCTAGTCCTGGGTGTGAGGGGGGGGGGAGGATGGATATACAGCTGGTCCTGGGTGTGCGGGGGGGGGGAGATACATCTAGTCCTGGGTGTGCGGGGGGGGAACGGATGTACAGCTGGTTGTGAGTGTGCAGGGGGGAGATACATCTAGTCCTGGGTGTGCGGGGGGGGGGATGGATGTACAGCTGGTCCTGGGTTTGCGGGGAGGGGGGGAGATACACCTAGTCCTGGTGTTGTGCTGGGGGGGGGGGGGGGATGGATGTACAGCTGGTCCTGGGTGTGCGGGGGGTGGGGAGAGATACATCTAGTCCTGGGTGTGCGGGGGGGGAACGGATGTACAGCTGGTTCTGAGTGTGCAGGGGGGAGATACATCCAGTCCTGGGTGTGCGGGGGGGATGGATGTACAGCTGGTCCTGGGTTTGCGGGGAGGGGGGGGAGATACACCTAGTCCTGGGTGTGCAGGGGGGGGATGGATGTACGCTGGTCCTGGGTGTGCAGGGGTGGGGAGATACATCTAGTCCTGGGTTTTGCGGGGGGGGGGGCGGTTGTACAGCTGGTCCTGGGTGTGCAGGGGAGAGATACATCTAGTCCTGGGTGTGCGGGGGGGATGGATGTACAGCTGGTCCTGGATGTGCGGGGGAGGGGGAGGGAGATACATCTAGTCCTGGGTGTATGTGGGGGGATGGATGTACAGCTGGTCCTGGGTGTGCGGGGGGGGGGGAGATATATCTAGTCCTGGTAGTCCTGGGTGTGCGGGGGGACGGATGTACAGCTGGTCCTGGGTGTGTGGGGGGGGAGGGAGATACATCTAGTTCTGGGTGTGAGGGGGGGGGAGGATGGATGTACAGCTGGTCCTGGGTTGTGCGGGGGGTGTGGGGATAGATACATCTAGTCCTGGGTGTGCGGGGGGGAACGGATGTACAGCTGGTTCTGAGTGTGCAGGGGGGAGATACATCTAGTCCTGGGTGTGCGGGGGGGGGGATGGATGTACAGCTGGTCCTGGGGTTTGCGGGAGGGGGGGAGATACACCTAGTCCTGGGTGTCGGCGGGGGGGGGGGGAATGTACAGCTGGTCCTGGGGGTGTGCGGGGGGTGGGGAGATACATCTAGTCTGGGGTGTGCGGGGGGGGAACGGATGTACAGCTGGTCCTGGGTGTGCGGGGGGATGGATGTACAGCTGGTCCTGGATGTGCGGGGGGGGAGGGGGGGAAGATACATCTAGTCCTGGTAGTCCTGGGTGTGCGGGGGGGGGACAGATGTACAGCTGGTCTGGGTGTGCGGGGGGGGAGGGAGATACATCTAGTTCTGGGTGTCAGGGGGAAAGATGTACAGCTGGTTCTGGGTGTGCGGGGGGGGGGGGGGAGATACATCTCGTCCTGGGGTGTGCGGGGGGATGGATGTACAGCTGGTTCTGGTGTGCGGGGGGGGGGGGGGGGAGATACATCTAGTCCTGGGTGTGCAGGGGCCCTGGGTGTGTGTGTGGGGGGGGGGGGGGCCCTACAGTTAGCCCTGGGTGTGTGGTTGGGGTGGGGATATACAGCTGGCCCTAGGCATGCTGGGGTGGGGGTGGGAATATACAACTGGTTCTGGCTTCTACGCAGGGGGACACCACCATCTTCTTAATATTCATTACTTGGTTTCACAGGGAACTTCTCTAACATTTCAGATACAAAAATAAAGAAGCCGACAAGGGAAGTGTTCCTCCTTTTTTTTTTATGTCATGTAGAGGCAGTACAGGACAGAATACGGATTGAAGTGCCCAGAAATCCTTGTATCCCATAGAATCCAACAACAAACGTCCTCCGGTACTGTACAGTCCACATGTTACAAACATTCATATAGATCCCTCAAATGTACAAAAATGCAATCACATGCTGTACTATACCACAAAGAGTACTGTCACTTCCCTTATTCCTCATGGGTCACCCTCAGTTTTCCCCTCTGAAGTCTCCACAATCATTCTGAATAAAGTTTATAGAAAGGACTTAGGGGGGGGGGGGACACCTACAGGTCAATTTAAAAAGCAATATTGGGGAAGTATCACAAGCCCGACCATGGTGAATTCTGACCGTATTTTTGCTTAATTTGTTGATTACGTACGTCCGCCAACTCCATCTAGTGTCCATATGTTGATATTGTTCTAAAGCACTCAAATCAGGGAAAATACAGCATTATGGCCCCTAGAAGGAGCTGCCAATCACAGGCCCCACGTGGAAGAAAAATATATTTGAAATATATTTTAAAATATTTTTCCCAAATATTTGACATATATTTGAAATACTACAATATTTATTCAATATATTTCATTCATATTTATATATATATATATATTTATATATATATTATATATATATATATAAAATTAGAGAGAGAGGAGAATTCTAAATATAGAATTCTATATATGTATATAAATATATTTTATATATATTATATATATATATTTTTTTTTTTTTTTTTTTTTTTTTTTTTTAAAAAGTATATATATATATTATATATATTTGTATATATATATAATATATATACGTATATATAATATATATAGGTTTATATAAAATTGCGTTTTTTATATATTTAAAAAATATATGAAAACCATTATTTTTTGAAATACATTTTCAAATATGAAATGTCTTTGAAAATACATTTAATCTACATTTTTTAGAATACATTTACAAATATATGTAAAAATATATGTTGGCTTTTTGTATGTTAAAAAAAAAGTAATACATTTTTAAAAAATTATATATTTTTTAAATATATTGCCTTTAGAAATATATATTTAAACTACATTTTTTTTATTTTGGAATAAAATGTTAATAAAAGATATTAAACATAGACCAATATATTATAATATATGTCACATATATAATTTTGTTTTCTAAATATATTGGAAATATATTTCTCTTCCATGGGGGTTAATAAGGAAATTACAATCAGAATTCGACACAGCTGGACAAATGCTTTTGACATTCGTCCAAAAAAATTATTTTTATAAATTGGCACCCCAGAATCTGGAACCACACAACATGTAAAGGAGGATAGACAGCGTTTCAAATCAAATTATGTGCATAAAGGCAAGTCAGTGTTTTTTGTTGGGAAGAATCTGATCCTCCGGGAGAGGATCTGCCATCGATTCTCAGGAATAGCCCACCTGCTGCTTATATTCAGACCAGCAGTTAATGGTGGTGGCAGTCCTGGATTTCAGGAAGATAGATATGCCCGTGTTCAGGGGGGGACTGACAACTCATGGGGCCCCCGGGCAATAGGGGATCATTGGGGCCCCTGTGTCCTTGTCCAAACTCAAAAAAGCCTATGAAAAAGGTACCAGGGGCATCTCATGGGGCCCCCTACTGACCCCGGGCCCTCGGGCAGTGCCGTGTTTCCAAATGGTCAGTCCGCCCCCTGCCCGTGTTTCACCAAATTTTTTTTTTTAACTGATAAAGCTTCATCAATATAAGAGATTGGCAAGCAGTAGATATTCCGATGTTGGTAAAGTCCCAGCACACCCCTCTCAGCTCACAGAGCATGCTGGGACTTGTAGTTCCACAGCCATTTTACTGGCTGCCTGTCACCAGACTGTACAATGTCTGACCCTCTTCTATACATAGTTATATAATTCCGTATACACTATAACATATAAAACATATATAAGCACCAACAGTGAGCGTGGTAATAGAACACAATGACAGCAAAGTGTAATGATCAGAATTCAGCAGGACCGTCAGATGGCTTCTCCTCGCCATATCGCGGCATTCATTTCTCCTCCTCCAGGAAATGTTTCTCTTTCACACCGGTGGCGACCACGGCGAAAAATAGTTCCGGCAGGAAGGTTCGGACATAAATGGCGGCTTTGGGGATGGGATTGGCATGAAGACTTCCTGTTTCCGCCTGCTAACCGTGCGCAAAACTTCCTCCGCCACTTCCACGGGGTGCACGCCATAGGAGAGCTTTCTGAAAAAGACTAAAACCGAGAAACATATATCAGACCGAATCATCGCTGGACATGGTCTGCATTGTATTTAAACCCCAAGAACATTCAGCGAACATCTGACACTGGGGGGAACTGACTTGGTGTTACTGACATACCCAGTGACACCAATACAGTGATCAGTGCTAATAAAAAAGCACTGACACTGTACTAATGGCAGTGGGCAGGAAGGGGTTAACATGAGGGGTGATCAAAGGGTTAACTGTGTGTGCAGAGAGTGTATTACTGGGGGGGGGTGTATGCTTCACTGTAATCACACTGCTCTGGATGGCTGTGCTGTGCAGTGTGCCTGAGCTGACAGTAAACAAAACCGGTCTCCTCCCCGTCCAGAGATCTTCAGAAATCACCGGGCTCCGGCGAGTAATTACTGGCTGGGACCCGGTGACTGACAGCTACAGCTGGTTTGCCCCCTACCCGGAAAAGCAAAATGACGTATAGTATTTCTGCTATAGGGCAGTTGGGAAGCGGGTTAGAGCAGTGATCTCCAAACTGCGGCTGAGGCCGGATGTGGCCCTTTGCTTGCTTTTATCCAGCCCTCGGGGCATTTTTTCCCCCCACTGTCAGCATCAATGTGGCATAGTTCCTGCCGAATTGACAATGACAAACTGGTCCTCCCACGACACCAATGATGGGATGGGGCAGTATTTCTTCAATTGATATCATCGATGGGGCACTATTCCTCCCACTAATACCAATGATGGGGCACTATTCCTCCCCCACTGACACCAATGATGGGGCACTATTCCTCCCACTGACACCAATGATGGGGCACTATATTCTCCCACTGATACCAATGATGGGGCACTATGCCTCCCACTGATACCAATGATGGGGCACTATTCCTCCCACTGACACCAATGATGGGGCACTATTCCCTCTCACATGACACCAATGATGGGGCACTTATTCCTTCCACTGACACCAATGATGGGGCACTATTCCTTCCACTGACACCAATGATGGGGCACTATTCCTCCCACTGACACCAATGATGGGGCACTATTTCTTCAATTGATATCATCGATGGGGCACTATTCCTCCCTCTGACACCAATGATTGGGGCACTATTCCTCCCACTGATACCAATGATGGGGCACGATTTCCTCCCACTGACACAATGATGGGGCACTATTCCTCCCACTGACACCAATGTTGGGGCATTATTATCCCACTGACACCAATATTATGGGGCACTATTCCTCCCACTGACACCAATGGTAGGGCACTATTCCTCCCACTGACACCAATTATTTGGGCACTTTTTCCTCCCACTGACACCAATGATCTTTTCTATTATACTCTTTGATTTTCTTTTCTATTCTCATCTTATCTATTCTAATCTATTATATTCCTAGATTGTAAGCTCCCAGGATCAGGCCCTCTAACCCTCTTGTATTGAACTGTATTGTTACTGTATTGTCTCCCTTCATATTGTAAATCGTTGAGCAAACTGTCGGCGCTAAATAAATCCTGTATAATAATAATAATATTTCTAATTGATTCTATCCTATTCCTTTATTTTCTATCCTATTTTGTTCTGTTTTACTCTATTCTTTTTTATTCTATCCTTTTCTTTTGTATTCTGTTCTATTTTTTTCTTTTCTATTTTGTTCTTTTTTCCTCTATTCTATTCTTTTCTATACTATTTCTTTGATTTTCTATTCTATTATAATATATTCTATTCTATTCTAATTGATTATGTTCTTTTCTATTTTATGACTTTATTTTTTATTCTACTTTGATATTCTATTGTTTTCTTTTCTTTGCTTTTTCTAGTCTATTCTATCTTATTCTATTATTTTCTATTCCTTTATTTTCTGTTCTGTTTTATTATTTTTTTGTTTTCAAATTCAAATTTGCTTTCTAATTTGAATTTGTCTTTGAATGTGTTTTCGAATTGTTTCAAATTTGGGGCCGAATTTCGTTTCGTTATTATTTCGGATTCTTCTAAACTCATTACTATTGTAATTCGGCATTCGGATACATCCAAATCTCCGAATTTCAATTTAGAATGAAACGAACTGCACATGTCTAGTATGGAAGTGTTTCTTGGTGATCGGCAGATCCTTCAGATACAATTTCTCTAACTGCAACAATACTTCCCTATGATCATGTGCTACAATCTATTAGCCCATATTTTATCACCCAGAATACCATTACACCTTGAACAAGGATACGAAGATATACCTTGGGATGCTCCTTCCTAAGAAGAAGCAAGGGGCCCCATAAGTCTCCTGCACCTCACAAGACAGGGGTGAATAGTATCTATGTTACCAGTCATTTCTGATACATTACGATCTCTTCCTGTTCTTAAAAACCACTTGCCAACTGCCTAATGGGGGCCATAGTTGGGTCAAAAATCGGCCGATTTTCCCGGCAATGATGGGAAAATCGCCCGATCATTTTACCAATAAAAAATCCTGCAAAAAGAAGAAAAAGAAGAAGTAGAAGAAAAATAAGAAGTAGAAAAAGAAAAAGAAGAAGAAGAAAAAGAAGAAGAAAAAAGAAGAAGAAGAAGAAAAAGAAGAAGAAGAAAAAAAAGAAGAAAATAAGAAGAAAAAGAAGAAGATAAAAGAAGAAGAGAAAAAAAGAAGAAGAAGAAGAAGAAGAAGAGGAAGAAGAAACAGAAACAGAAAAAGAAACAGAAGTAGAAAAAGAAAAGAAAAGAAAAGAAGAAGAAAAATAATAAGAAGAAAATAAGAAGAAGAAGAAAAAAAAGAAGAAGAGGAAGACGAAAAAAAAGAAGATGAAAAAAAAGAAGAGGAAGAAAAATAAGAAGAAGAAGAGGAAAAAGAAGTAGAAGAAAAAGAAAAAAAAGAAAAAGAAGGAGAAAAAGAAGAAGAAGAAGCAGAAGAAGAAGAAGAAAAAGAAGAAGAATTCCAGTCCGCTATTATATTTTATATGAAAAGGTCCGAAATGGATACAAATGGATACAAATGGATACATTGTTGCAACCGCAATACTTTCATGTAAAATATAATAGCGGAGCTCTCTGCAAGGGACAGAAGTAATTATGGGGTTAAATGCCGGCCGTAGACAGGACGAAAATCGGCCGATTTTTTTACCGTTGGTGGTAACATCGGCCGATCGAACGGCCGATTTTTCTTTTTTAAAAAAAAAAAAAAACGGCCGGTTTTCGACCCGTCTATGGCCTACATAACTGGAAAAAATATGTCATTACTTTGACGTTTAATACCGGGGTTATGACTGCAGCTAGATGCCATAACCCCAGTATTCATATTTTTCTCAGTTAAAAGTGATCCAAGCGACAGATTTGCCGGTAGTTTTCGGGCTTACCTGGACAATCAGTAGCTCCGAGAACTGATCCGGAGCTGACATAGAGATGAATGAAGGAAAGATGGCCTCCATGCATCTCTATGGCCTAGGAGGACTGAAGCGACGTCATTCCATCATGAGAACATGCAAACATGCAGGTAGTGCTGTGGGTGGGGTTTGAATGAATGACCCTAGTGCTTCTACGCGGAAGTGCTAATCACTTAGCCACTTTGTTACAGAAAAGATATTTTGTCTTACATTTCCAAATGGAGGCCTCCCAGTTCCCAGGCTCTGGCTGGACGTGGTACGAGCGGATGAAGGTGGGGCTCACAGTGCTGACAAACACATCGAACTCTTCCACTTCTGCACGGAGACAGTCAAAGAATCCTTGGATTGCGTGCTTAGAAGCGGCATCTGCACAGGGATACAAAATGGTTAGGTATACCTGGAACAGGGGCACTAAATAGACACTGATATCAATAATATACTCCTATACTCCTCACTGCATTATAATCAACAGCAGCACAGAGTATTTCAGGAGAGGAGAGTTATAGAGGAAGGAGCGGAGTCCCCCAGCAGTGCAGAGTATTTCAAGAGAGGAGAGTTATAGAGGAAGGAGCGGAGTCCTCCAGCAGCGCAGAGTATTTCAGGAGAGGAGTTATAGAGGAAGGAGCGGAGTCCTCCAGCAGAGCAGAGTATTTCAGGAGAGGAGAGTTATAGAGGAAGGAGCGGAGTCCTCCAGCAGAGCAGAGTATTTCAGGAGAGGAGAGTCATAGAGGAAGGAGCGGAGTCCTCCAGCAGATTAGAGTATTTCAGGAGAGGAGAGTTACAGAGGAAGGATCGGAGTCCTCCAGCAGTGCAGAGTATTTCAGGAGAGGAGAGTTACAGAGGAAGGATCGGAGTCCTCCAGCAGTGCAGAGTATTTCAGGAGAGGAGAGTCATAGAGGAAGGAGCGGAGTCCTCCAGCAGAGCAGAGTATTTCAGGAGAGGAGAGTTATAGAGGAAGGAGCGGAGTCCCCCAGCAGTGCAGAGTATTTCAGGAGAGGAGAGTTATAGAGGAAGGAGCGGAGTCCTCCAGCAGTGCAGAGTATTTCAGGAGAGGAGAGTTATAGAGGAAGGAGCGGAGCCCTCCAGCAGCGCAGAGTATTTCAGGAGAGGAGAGTTATAGAGGAAGGAGCGGAGTCCCCCCCAGCAGAGCAGAGTATTTCAGGAGAGGAGAGTTATAGAGGAAAAAGAGGAGTCCTCCAGCAGAGCAGAATATTTCAGGAGAGGAGAGTTATAGAGGAAGGAGCGGAGTCCTCCAGCAGAGCAGAGTATATTTCAGGAGAGGAGAGTTATAGAGGAAGGAGTGGAGTCCTCCGGCAGAGCAGAGTATTTCAGGAGAGGAGAGTTATAGAGGAAGGAGCGGAGTCCCCCAGCAGAGCAGAGAATTTCAGGAGAGGAGAGTTATAGAGGAAGGAGCGGAGTCCTCCAGCAGAGCAGAGTATTTCAGGAGAGGAGAGTTATAAAGGAAGGAGCGGAGTCCTCCAGCAGAGCAGAGTATTTCATGAGAGGAGAACTAAAGAGGAAGGAGCGGAGTCCTCCAGCAATGCAGAGTATTTCAGGAGAGGAGAGTTATAGAGGAAGGAGTGGAGTCCTCCAGCAGAGCAGAGTATTTCAGGAGAGGAGAGTTATAGAGGAAGGAGCGGAGTCCTCCAGCAGAGCAGAGTATTTCAGGAGAGGAGAGTTATAGAGGAAGGAGCGGAGTCCTCCGGCAGCGCAGAGTATTTCAACAGAGGGGAGTTCTTATATTTTCATACTTCTAGTCCATCAAACTTTACTCCAGTAATACTCACATGCGGCCCGGAATGGAACTCCCAGTTTCCCCTGTATATTGTTCACTAGGACAATCTGACCGGTTCTTCTGGAAATCATATGTGGCAGAATTGCTGAGTACGATAAGAAAGTTTAATAAGTCGGAAAAATTTCCAATCATTTCAACCATATGAATCAAAATCAAAAATTAACAAAAATCAAAAACACAGTCAGTCTGACCTTTGATTAAGGTGATGGGGCCGAAATAATTGGCATCCATGATTTTCTTGTCCAGCTCCAACGTCACACTCTGCGCCGGCCCCTTGATCTTCATACTGGCATTATTGATTAATACGTCTACACAGCCATAACAGTCCAGAATCTCCTTACCGATCGCCTCGATTTCATCGACCTCACTAATGTCCAGGAGAACCAGCTTGGGCGTGAAGGTCTGACAGACACATATTGAAAGTCAAGTTTAAAAGTTTAGAATAACAACCAGCTTGTTTACTGTGTGAAAGCAGTGATGCCACGCAGGGGCGGACTGACAACTCATGGGGCCCCCGGGCAAAAGGGGATCATGGGGCCCCTGTGTCCTTGCCCAAACTCAAAAAAGCCTATGAAAAAGGTACCAGGGGCATCTCATGGAGCCCGCTACTGCCCCCGGGCCCTTGGGCAGTGCCCGGGTTTCCAAATGGTCAGTCCGCCCCTGATGCCACGGTGAACTTCAGACAGTTCAGGTGGAATCCTCCACCGGCCCGGAACCAATTATTAATTGGCAATGGAAGACCATAAATAAAGTCCAGTGCATTAAGGATTTTATTTGTTGTTTTACAGTATAATAAAATAAGAACAATGTTTATAAACATTGTTTCTCATATGTTACATATTGTTTCTTTTTTGTTACACATTGGGTGGTTACATAGGAAAGGTGGTGCTTGATTAATGTTAAACTGCATGTATGTTTTTTTTTCCATAGTTACATTGGCCCAGATACTAGATACTGTATGTATGCATACACTATATTGCCAAAAGTATTGGGCCAGCCCTCCAAATCATTGGATTCAGGTGTTCCAATCCCCTCCATGGCCACAGGTGTATAAAATCAAGCCCTAGGCATGCAGACTGCTTCTACAAACATTGGTGAAAGAATGGGTCGCTCTCAGGAGCTCAGTGACTCCAAGCGTGGTCCCGTGATAGGTGGTCACCTGTGCAATAAGTCCATCCGTGACATTTCCTGGCTACTAAATATTCCACGCTCAACTGTTAGTGGGATTATAACAAAGTGGAAGCAACTGGGAACAACAGCAACTCAGCCACCAAGTGGTAGGCCACGTCACATGACAGAGAGGGGTCAGCGCATACTGAAGCGCACAGTGCGCAGAAGTCACCAACTGTCCTGCAGAGTCAATAGCTAAAGACCTCCAAACTTGGTGTGGCCTTCAGATTAGCACAACAACAGTGCATAGAGAGCTTCATGGAATGGGTTTCCATGGCCGAGCAGCTGCATCCAAGCCTTCCATCACCAAGTGCAATGCAAAGCGTCGTATGCCATGGTGTAAAGCATGCCGCCACTGCACTCTAGAGCAATGGAAACGTGTTCTCTGGAGTAACCAACCATGCTCTCTGTCTGACAATCCGGTGGATCTGTCTGGGTTTTGGCAAGTAAGAACGATACTTGCCTAACTGCACTATGCCAAGTGTAAAGCTTGGTGGAGGGGGGATTAAGGTGTGGGGTTGTTTTTTCAGGGGTTAGGCTTGGCCCCCTAGTTCCCATGAAGGGAGCTCTTAAGGCGTCAGCATACCAAGACATTTTGGACAATTTCATGCTCCCAACTTTGTGGGAACAGTTTGGGGATGTCTCCTTCCTGTTCCAACATGACTGCACACCAGTGCACAAAGCAAGGTCCATAAAGACATGGAGGAGCCAGTTTGGGGTGGAGGAACTTGACTGACCTGCACAGAATCCTGACCTCAACCCCATAGAACACCTTTGGGATGAATTAGAGCAGAGACTGCGAGCCAGGCCTCCTCCCCCGACATCAGTGCCTGACCTCACAAATGTGCTTCTGGAAGAATGGTCCAACCTTCCCATAGACACCCTCCTAAACCTTGTGGACAGCCTTCCCAGAAGAGTCTAAGACTGGGGGGGCCATTAAAGCTCATGTGCGTGGAAAGGCAGGCCGACCAATACGTTTGGCAATATGTTGTATTTCATACTTGCTGAACCACTGCGGGGGCGGAGAATCACTGTAATAGTCACCACTACCACAATGATCCTCGCTGTCCTCCTTGTCTAGTGCCAAGCAGCTGCCCACCTGCATAGTGGACACAGGAGGTTGCTCACTCAGCACGGGTTGCCATGCAGAGACCACCTTGTAAATTTTCACAATAAATGAAAGGAATTCTCTGATCGGACTAGGAGAAGATCATGACAACACTGCCTGCCTCTTTGGAAGAAGACAGCAAGAATCACTGTAGTCATGGTGGCTACTACAGTGATTCTCCTCTTCCACAGGAATAGGCCAGTTATGAAATATGTGTCTTATATTGGCCCAGGCTGGGAAAATTTAATTATGTGAAAAAAAATCATACGTGCAATTCAATTCAATTCAATTCAAGTGACTGGCCTCAGGTGATACACAGAGATGGAACAAATCCACCTACATACGTTGTACCTGTTTATCTGCTGCTATTTTCCCCTACATCCATCCAAAGTGCAGAATATACACAGAATCTCTCAGCTCTGAAAAGCAGGGGGCGGGGAGCTGAAGTTATGTCAGTGAGGAGAGCAGGGGCACACCCCCCTCCACACAGCACACAGGAACAGAGCTGAGGCTGTCAATCTGCCGAAGGTCCCTCCTACTGTCACCATTTCTCTCTTGGTGTCAGGAAAACTTGTCAGAAGTGACTCATGCTAATAGCAGAAGAATGAAGTAGCAGTCACAAATTAAACTTAGTTCTCTGGACTGAGACAAGTACACACTATAGAGAACCTCCATTGCTAGTATAGTGTCTGCACGGATCAATATCTTTGATCAGATCAGCACTATACTAGCGTTCACATTAGTATAGCGTCCCCAAAAACGCAGCGTTAGCGGGATCAGCCCCGGCACCTGCCACCACCTGCGTTTAGCTCCTCTGCTTACCCCCCCCCCTTCTCCCCCTGCAAGTGCAGTGTCAGTAGGTCACTGTCACTTGATACATTGCACACAAAACTGCAGTGTTCGCAGAATCAGGCCTGATCTCTGTTAGCACTTGTCGGTAAATTTTGATGACTCTCATATGCAACAGAGTGCCAGTACTAGTGCCACGCTACCTTTTGGTGAACTGGCGAGCACCGGCGGTCTAGTACATCTTGGTCTTTCACATACCTCTTAGATTGTAAGCTCCCAGGATCAGGGCCCTCCTAACCCTCTTGTATTGAACTGCATTGTTGCTGTATTGTCTCCTGTTATACTGTAAAGCGCTGAGCAAACTGTTGACGCTATATAAATCCTGTATAATAATAATAATATGCTTTGCACATATTTCATGTCTGAGGTTTACAGCAACTTTAAGGCTCCATTCACACTAGTGGTTTTTTTTTAGCTCAAAAAATGCTGGATAAAAAACATTGGTAGTAGCGATTTTTAGTGGCGTTCTGAAGCATTTAGGAGCATTTGCGTTTTATTAGCATTTTTTACAGTTTAGAAAAACGTGACTTCCGATCGCCGCACAGCCTCGCCCTGACACGTTGCGGATCCCTATGACTAAGTCGGAAGTGACGAAACGTGTCAGGGCGAGCCTGTGCGGCGACCGGATGTGACGTTCAGGGTCGGAATCGGAAGTGACGTGGGAGCGCCATTGTTTGGGAATCGGCGGTGGTGAGAGAAATGCTTGATACCCACCATCTTACAACATCACACTGCAGTATTTATAGGCGATTTTTTTTCAGATGTTTTGTAAGTGGCTGTCCACTTTCAAGCAATTAAAGGTGTAATTTGTACTGCACCATTGGGGTTATTCTTTCTTTGTTGTTTCATGACGACTATTCCTGAGAGAGAAGAGTAAGGAGAAGGATGGTGATATTTATATTGGTATACCTCCTTATCAGGGGCGGACTGACAACTCATGGGGCCCCTGGGCAATAGGGGATCATGGGGCCCCTGTGTTCCTGCACAAACTCAAAAAAGCCTATGAAAAAGGTACCAGGGGCATCTCATGGGGCCCCCTACTGACCCCGGGCTCTCGGGCAGTGCCCGAGTTTCCAAATGGTCAGTCCGCCCCTGCTCCTTGTTATTTGAAATCTGTGAAGTGGTGTGAGCTGATCATGGGAATGAGAGGCATGGAGTCCTGAGAAAAACAGAGAGGAGTGAAATAATACTGATATTGACCTACTTCCTTCCCATCTAGAGATTTCAAAAAGCGATCAAAAATTGGACCCCCCCCCCCCCCCCCACGATGTATGAGCACTATGTGCCACCAAACCCCCCCCCCTGAAAAAAAAACAAATTGAACACTAATCTGCATGTTTACCCCCTAATTATAAATTTACCCTCCTCCCAGTACAAATCTGCCCCCCTAATGAAATCCCGCCTCCCTGCACAAATCTTTGCCCCCCCTCATCCCCCCAGCTCAAATACTAACTCTCCACATATGCCCCAGCAAAAATCCCCCCCCCCAAAAAAAAAAAATTCTCCTCCTTGCACAAATCCTCTACCCCTCAAATCTCCCCTCCAAGCGCAAATCATCTCTCCCACTGCAAATCCCCCCCGCCAGTGGTTTAGACTGTGCTGGTTTTGCACTGCCCTAAGCAACACAAAAATTGGACTCCTTCACAGCTCTGGACATACCCAGGAACGAGAGACGGGCTATGCATACACCATCGAGCAGCCCGAGGTCTCCCTCAGTTCCCACCTGGTCCCTTCTTCCAGGGGGCAGTGCTGCCCCCTGGAAAATGCCGCCCTAGGCAAATGCCTTGTTTACAACCACTTTAATAGTAAATATGGGTGAGGGGCGCCATTCGATTATGGCACTTATAAAACCACTTCTTACCACACTCGGATCAGCGACACTTATCAAGGCATCATGCAATGCTTCCAGCTTCTCCCATGTTTTCCCACAGAGGACCAGCCGGGCCCCAGCTGCATGGAACACCCTGGAGCATTCTGGAAAACAATTTCCACAAGTAAGCAAAACATTCCACCATTAATAAAATGCAGAGGTGTAACTAGAGCCTTCAGGGCCCCAGGGCAAGAAATAATGAAGAGCACTCTATGACACATTAGTCCCAGGACCCTTTCCTCTGGTCCCAGGCATGCTGGGACTTACACTGCTCAAAAAAATGAAAGAAACACTTTGAAAACCCATCAGATCTCAATGGGGAAGAATCTCCTGCTAGATCTCTATACTGTCAAGGACGGGGTAATATGTTAGGAATGTAAGGATGCCCCATCATTTGATGGAAATGAAAATTATTGACCTACAGAGGACTGAATTCAAAGACACCCCAAAAATCAAAGTGGCAAAATGATCCAGCAGGGGAGTCCATTTGGCTGAAATGTCATTGCAGCAACTCAGAATGGTCCTCAGTCGTTTGTATGGCCCCCACGTGCTTGTATGCATGCCTGACAACGTTGGGGCATACTCCTCATGAGACCACGGATAGTGTCCTGGGGTATTTCCTCCCAGAACTGGACTAGGGCATCACTGAGCTTCTGGACAGTCTGAGGTGCAACCTGGTGGTGTCAGATGGACCAAAACATGATATCCTAGAGGTGTTCTATTGGATTTAGGTCAGGCAAGCCTGGGGGCCATTCAATGGTATCAATTCCTTCATCCTCCAGGAACTGCCTGCATTTTCTCCCCACATGAGGCCGAGCATTGTCGTGCACCAGGAGGAACCCAGGACCACTATAGGGGCACTCATGTAGGCTTCATCCTGAGCCGACTCCGTGTTCCGATTGACACACAGGACTTGGCCCCCGCTGTCTCCTCACTGGCTGCACCAGCTTAGGTCTGACAATAGGTCCAAGGATTTCATCCCGATACCTAATGGCAGTCAGGGTGCCATTGTCTAGCCTGTAGAGGTCTGTGTGCCCCCTCTATGGATATGCCTCCCCAGACCATCACTGACCCACCACCAGAATGGTCATGCTGAACCATGTTACAGGCAGCAGAACGTTCTCCACGGCTTCTCCAGACCCTTTCACGTCTGTCACGTGTGCTCAGGGTGAACTTGCTCTCATCTGTGAAAAGCACAGGGTGCCAGTGGCGGAGCTGCCAATTCTGATGTTCAATGGAAAATGCCAATTGAGCTCTACAGTGCCGGGCATTGAGCACAGGGGCCACTAGAGGACTTTGGGCCCTCAGGCCACCCCCATGATCTGTTTCTGATTGTTTGACCTGCTGGAGGTCATTCTGTAGGGCTCTGGCAGTGCTCATCCTGTTCCTCCTTGCACAAAGGAGCAGATACCGGTCCTGCTGATGAGTTAAGGAACTTCTACGACCTTGTCCAGCTCTCCTAGAGGAACTGCCTGTCTCCTGGAATCTCCTCCATGCTCTTGAGACTGTGCTGGGAGACACAGCAAACCTTCTGGCAATGGCACGTATTGATGTGCCATCCTGGAGGAGTTGGTCTGCCTGTGCAACCTCTGTAGGGTCCAGGTAATGTCTCATGCTACCAGTAGTGACACTGACCCTAGCCAAATACAAAACTAGTGAAAAACAGTCAGAAAATATGAGAAGGGAAAAAAATGTCAGTGGCCTCCACTTGTAAAACCATTCCTGTTTTGAGGGTCGTCTCATTGTTGCCCATCTAGTGCACCTGTTGTTAATTTCATTACCACCAAAGCAGCTGAAACTGATTAACAACCCCCTCTGCTACTTACCTGACCAGATCAATATCCCAGGAGTTTCACTGACTTCATGCTAGACTCTGATTAAAAAGTCTTCCTTTCATTTTTTAGAGCAGTGTATTATTGCAGTCACTGACACAAATGTTGGGTACTATTGTACTGCGACTTCTTTATAATGCATACTAGCACATTACATTACCTTGCAGGGAGTTTTGGGAGACGTACTCCCTTCTTCAGAGCTCTGAAGAAGGGAGTACGTCTCCCGAAACGCGTTAGTCTACCTTAATAGGGTTCTACCGTTACTTTGGACCGTCACCACTGACTCTTTATCTCGGTTTTAATCCCCTTTGGTTTGTGAGTATGCACTCTTATGCTTTTAAATAAACCTTAGATTGTACGCCCTTTGAGGGTTAGGGACCTTAGATTGTACACCCCTTGAGGGTTAGGGACCGATGTGAATATATATATATATGTAAAGTGCTGCGTAAAATTGACGGCGATATAAATAAATAAACTCGCGTTTCTTGACAGTAATGCATGAAGAGAGTGCGCCCTGTTTTTGCTTTTCTTCACACCCACCAGCACCTAACTTGTACCTGCCCAGCACCCCATTGACGAATCATGAAGCGGCAAGGCAGAATGCCCACCCATATTCTATCCTGACGCAGCCCCCGCCCTGTCTCACTTCTCTCTCTCTATAGTTGACAAACTCCGCCCACCACCTGTAGAACCGGAGCACTGTCCCTAGAATATAATATGGGCGGAGATTCCTTGCCACTTCCTGATTTGTTAAAAGTCGTTTTGGGGCGGTGTTCTAGTTCTAGAGTTGGTGGGCGGGGTTTGTTGGCTACGGTGAGAGAAAAGCAAGACAGGAAGCCAATAGAGTGAATGTTGGGGGCAAGTTAGCCACTACATGGGGCACCATATATGCACCCTATTTGTTCAATCAGGCCATGCTTGTCCCCCCCAACACCCAACTCTGCCTCCCCCACTTTCATTGTAGCTGGTAAACCCCGCCCACAACCCTTAGTAGCTGTTTGCTATGGGGGCACTCATGCGGGCTTACTCCCAAGCCGACTCCATGTGCCCATTGACACACAGGCAGCAGGCAATGGCTTCTGCTGCTGCCACTCTGTGTATGCCCCATCATTGGTATCAGTGTACAAAATAGTGTCGCTTTGTTGGTATCAGTCAGAGAAATAGTGCCCCAAGGGCCGGATAAAGGCTAGCAAAGGGCCACATCTGGCCCTTGGGCCGCAGTCTGGAGACCCCTGGTGTATACAGTATACTGGAATTTACGCAGTTATGACGCTAGTGATGCCAGTGATCAATGACTTATAGTGAGGCTGTGATAGTGTGGTGGGCAATCTGGCACTAACAGACCCTCGTGGGGAGGTACACTAACTGACATCAATAGTGAATAGAAATACTGCTACAAGGCGGTTTGGGTGTGCAAAATCACGTATACATATGTGATTTTGCAGTTCCAGGTAGGGGGCAAGCACCCTACCCATGCCACCATTTGCGGCCTCAGCTGTCAATCACCGGGTCCTGACTGGCGATTGCCGAGTATCTCAGATGGGGGAGAGACCCGTGTATAAACAACACAGATCTCTCCCCTGTTAGCTCCTGCATGCTGCTTTGTATGGCTCTGCACAGCAGAGCCATACAAAGCAGTGTGCTTGCAGTGGAAAACACTCACAAAGCATACTGTGAAACAGCACGCAGTTAACCTTTTGATCGCCCTACATGTTAACCTTTTCCTGCTCAGTGGCATTAGTACAGTGTCAGTGCTTTTTATTAGCACTGACCACTGTATTGGTGTCACTGGGGATCAGTGACACCAAGTCAGTCCCCCTCAGTGTCAGAATGCCCGCTGCAGTCCCGCTATAAGTTGCTGATCGCCGCCATTACTAGTAATTGAAAAAAAAAAAATCCAGTATACATACCACCATTTGTAAACGCTATAACTATAAGTTTGGTGTGACCGGGGTGTCAGGAGCCCTCAGTACTGATGCAAACAGTGGGCTGGCTCTTGGGAGGAGTTATACAAATATCAAAATGCCTTGTTGGGTACGTGTCAGTCTGCAGCAGTGCTGGATTTGCATCCAGACCCCCCTAGCGGCAGGCCAAGGACAGTCAGGCTGGGGAGAAAAGAGTTAGATGATGCTGGACATCACCCAGCCATGAAATGAGGCACGCTCTACATGATTTGCTGCAGCTTCTAATGCACATTGTGAGAAGCTAACAGTGTGCAGTGAAATCAGAGTAAGCCATTTCAGTGTCAATTTCCCATAGATGCTCCAGGGAGTGAGAGAAAATCTCTACAAAGTGACAACTTTCTGACATCTGAAAAATATTTGATTTCCTATCAGTGATTGTAACAAAAAAAGACAGTGAATCATCCACAGACAGCAATCAAGGCCTGACAGAGGCTCTTATCATCCACAGACAGAGGCTCTTATCATCCACAGACAGAGGCTCTGCTCATCCACAGATAAAGACTCTGATCATCCACAGACAGAGGCTCTTATCATCCACAGACAGAGGCTCTGATATCCACAGATAGAGGCTCTGATCATCAACAGATAAAGACTCTGATCATCCACAGATAGAGGCTCTGATCATCCACAGACAGAGGCTCTGATCATCCACAGACAGAGGCTCTGATCATCCACAGACAGAGGCTCTGATCATCCACAGACAGAGGCTCTGATCATCCACAGATAGAGGCTCTGATCATCCACAGATAGAGGCTCTGATCATCCACAGACAGAGGCTCTGATCATCCACAGATAGAGGCTCTGATCATCCACAGACAGAGGCTCTGATCATCCACAGATAGAGGCTCTGATC